AACAATTTACGCAATTTCTCCTTCTCCCACTGGGGACGAGCTGCCAAAAGCTCATTGCCAGGTGTCAACCCCACAGTCAGGCTATCAGTCAGTGCTTGGAATAAAAGACTTCATTCCACCTCAATACACACCTGAGGGGGAGTTCACACTGTGACGGATTCCTTCGTGCTTTCAGGCTGCGTCCTATCATGTCCAGAGCCGAGTTACAGCAGATTTATGTCAAGGGCTAGACCACAGGACCATTCTGGTCTACGCCGAGCAAGTCGGGGCTGGTGAGGAAGCCTGAGTGATCTCCACCCAGCCAGAAGAGATTCTTGGCCCTGAGCGGCTCCCAACCATGCACTGACACTGTCTGCCACGTACAGCTCTTGTCCCCAGGGAGGAGAAATTTCTGTAAAGTTAGATTGATAGATGCGAAGGCATGGCCAGCCTCAGCAAATCCAGAGGCATTGTTTCCACCTCCACTGCCCTCTGCCCCTCAAACTATCCAATGCCAGGTGAAAAGCTCAAAAGTTATCTGATGGTCCCTGGGAATGCAGAACTGGACATCCACAAGGAGAAAAAGAAAGGATCTAGATGAGTAAAAAGGAGCAACTGATCTTTTGAATACTTCTGTCTCTCCCCCTCCCTTTTTTGTTTCTTACAACAAAGAGCTAGACACGGAGTGGGGGTAACAGCAGCCCTTTCTAGAGTCTTGCTGCAGCAGTCGCTGCTGGTCCACACCACAGTAAAGCAGGGATGTCAGTCTGTGGTGCACAAAGCATTACTCTAGGATTCGAGCGGATCCAGATGGAGGTCCCAGCTCCGAAGTTCCTCCAAGTCCTTAGAAAATCACTAAGCCCACGGAATCTGAATTTCCTCAACAGTAAGATTGGACGAGAGGGGCGGGGGAGGCCAACCGGATGGACTTGGAGCCCTCAAACTCCACGCTCCTCTTCTGTAAGTCAAGCAACCAGATCAGTCTGGGACAGACTTGATGACAGCATCAACCAAAGGTGGAAACCTCAGCAGGACATGTGAATGTCAGACATTGGCCAGTTCTGTTGGTCCCAACAGGGCATTCAGTTTGTTTAATGAAACTTCTGATTGAGTCTAATCAAAGCTATGAAAGATACCTTCTAATTCTCAAAAGAATCAGGTTTGGAAGGGAGGAAACCAGCATTTGTTGCTGGCCACCTAGGTGCCATCAGTGTTTCCATCTGTTAACCCAACTAATTCCTCATAACTGCTACGGAGGGTTCAGTTGTGGCTCCCCCAAACGAGTAAGTCCACATCCCAACCCCTGGAACCTTGGAATGTGACTCTATTTGGAAACAAGGTCTTTGTAATTAAGTTAAAGATCTCAAGATGAGATCAGCCTGGATTTAGGGTGGGCCCTAAATCCATGACAGGTGTCCTTCTCAGAGAGAGGCAGAGGGAGATTGGAGACATACACAGAGAGGAAGGCCATGGAAAGACAGAGCCAGAGACTGGAGTGATGCATCTACCAGCCAAGGACTGCAGACGGCCACCAGAAGCTGGGAGAGAGGCATGAAACGGATTCTGAGTCTCCAGAAGGAACCAACCATGCCAACATCCTGACGTCACACTTGTGGCTTCTAGAACTGACAGAGAATAAACTTCTGTTGTTTGAAGCCATCCAGTTTGTGGTGATTTGGTACAGCAGTCCCTAGGAAACTGACAGAACCATCACAGGAACAAGGTAAGTATCATCATTCAATTTTACTGATGAGGAAAGAGAGGCTCAGAAAAGCTAAATTATTTGTCCCAATTCTCTCAGTGCCCAGGGTGTGGGTGACAGACCTGCCACTCTGTCCACCATACCAGGCGGCCTTTAACATTAATGAGTCACAGCTCCCTCATTTCCTGAGACAAGGAGAGTGAAACCAAGTTAAATGACTTATCCCAGGTTGCGGCTTCTTGGTGGCAGGGTCTCTGTCAGAAGGCAGCGGCGCTTCTGCCTCATTCACTGATCAACCACAGAAAGACTTACCACCTCCCAGAGCCAACTATTTTAGGGGAACCCGTTTTATTGTCGCCACAATTACCCAAATGTGGAGCTTCACACTAATTTTCCCTCGCAAGTAAATGGCTGAAAAGTAATGGTGTCAATTTTAATGAGGATCAAGCAAGCTCCTCAAAGGGCTCGCATAAATGAAAGCATTTCCCTCGCACACAACAATGGCTTGCTGTTTAATTCCAGAACACGAGAATGTCACTTAAATTACATGGCTTTTACACTAAAGTGCTTATGGGAATGCCTTTCCGAGGAAGAATTTCAATAAAAAGATCTCACCCAGTTTGATGCTTCATAATATCTGCACTACAAACCTTTGTATCATAGCAACAAAAATAAGACCTCAGAGAATGTGAACAGGAACAGCACTTCACTTTAGCTGGGAAAGAGTCTCCGATTTTCTGTGAAACAGAGATGTCGCGGAGAAGCTGTTATCATGCAGCAATCTATGAAACCTGGACCTGAGGGCCACCAGAAATTCGTTGTTCAAGCCTGAATCCCTTTTGTCTCCGCTTGCTGAGATGTTCAGAATGACTGCCTGCCAACACTGTAAGTCTGCATGAGACTCTTTAGCTGACTCAATTCTTATTTTATTGGTGCTTCTCAAAGCAATTACGAGGGTTTTGAGCAAAGATGAGAGTATTTCACACCTCCATCTTTCCTGAAAATGTCTTATACTCCACTGACTTTTGGCTTCTATTTATAAAGTAGGTTCAAGGCTTGGAAAATTATTGGGGTTGAGCTTTAATGGATATTCCCAACCAGCATTGTGTCATTATTGGCCCACGTTTAGCTGGGCGATCTCCCAAATTTGTGACATAATCAGGCCTTTCTCTGCATTACTCCATACACTCCACGCTCCCTCTACATTACACCACTGAATCATACGCTCTTTTCAACAAGACTGATTGCCAGGGGATTAACATTAGACAGCACAATTCCATTATTCAGCAGCCCAATTCAAATCCAACTCTAAACTCTAAGAGAGATTTCAGGGCTTCACAGAGATGAGCTGCCAGAAAGCTCAAAGGGGCGGTGGGGTGAGGGGCTTTCGAATGTTTTACATAACAACTCAACCTAAACCCAGCCATAAGCAAGAGCCCACAGCTGAAGTGGCCGCGATATGACTCCTGATTCCTGGAATGGCCCCAACCAACCTTAACGAACGATTTGTGGACCTGTGCAAAGCCAAAACCCCCAAAGACTGCTGGAGCACAATCATTTTATTCCCACAATAAATTATTTATTTTCGAAATTAGGTATTTAGAACGTGTAGCCCGAAATCTCTTTCCTTAAATAGAAACACTTTCATGTCAAATTCAGGATATGTGAGGCCCAAAGTGAATTCAAGTCACGTGTTCTTTGATCCACGGATTTATGGTACATCAATGCCAAAATAAATGTTAACCATTTTCTTCTCATATTTGAGTGTTACTTCTCTTTGTGCTTGTTTTGTAAAATATCTGTACATAGTAATTCCCACTAAGAAACATTCCATAAATATCTCTGTGAGAAAGGTGGGCTCTAAAACTCAGTCTTTTATAAATATCCATAGAATCCACCTTATGCAAAAACCTATCAAATTTCACAGTAAGGCTTCTGAACAACAAAAATAAAATGTTACAAATACTTCTTTCACTGAATACTTACATACAAATGGAAATAACAACTATATCATGCTTTCTAAGGCAGAGTTTCTTATGGATTCAATTTAATTTAACTTGATACAAACTCAAAATGGTTTTATGTTTAATTTTCAGTTAACCCAAGACTTCAATTAACCAAATCTATGTAATTTGGTTAATCAAGCTTTTGGAAAGTTTTTTAATGGCTCTTTGGGCAATTCAAATGTCTACGGGGTCTCCCTCTTCAAAGAGTTTATATTTTATTGAAGAAGAAGAAATGTCCACATGTGAAATAATACTCGGGACACATGCATAAGAAATGAAGGAGGAAAGCCTTTGTTGATAGATGCACAGTGAGTGGGCATGAGTTTGTGGAGTTCCAAAGGGTCACATCAAGGCAAAATGAATTGAGGTGAGCTTTGAGTTGAGATTTTAGCAGAAGTCAGCAATCTGCAGGTGGAGATGGGCAAACTGATTAGGTAACCCCAGCATGGACTCAAGGACAGGTGACCATACTGAGAGTCAGGGTAGATGACAAGATAGAGAAAAGATGGCTTCTACAAAGGAAAGATCTTAGCCCATCATCCCTACAACAGACATGTCCTAAGTGTAGCTCCACATGTTATCAATCCTCCAGCAAGACAGAGAAACACTCTTTCTTCATCAGTTCCGACAAAGCCCATCTAACAGACCAACCTGGGAAGAAATCTGAGTTTCCAGGACAAGAGGCTTTGTGGTCTTAAGATATTTAATTAAAATAGCCTCCTTATCTGAGTACTTGATTAAAAGGTATCCATAAGCCCATTAACACAGTTCCCTTTCTACAGAAGAAATAGCTTCCAGCAACAGACAGTGAGCTTGTAGCGTCTAATGACTTTCTTCTAACGGAAGTAAAGGGCTCCTTGACGTTACCCTTCCCCAGCCCGCTCTAAGCTCAGTCGTCATCATGTCCTTTTCAGCCAGCCTTATGCAGTTGCCCTTCCTTAGATAATACTGCCTCTCTTTTAACAACCAAGTTCTCCAACAGCATATGTGTGTCCTTTCCCTGCACACACTAACATTCTTCAGAGTAATCTCAGCTTCCAGACTGTCTGCACATTTCATACCATTTTACACAAGATGACACTTGGGAACGAAAAGGATCACGCAAAACACATAAAACACGGCTAATCAGGAAGCAGAACATTGTCAAATGACAGAATTCTTCTTCTTGAATGACAGCTTGTATTTAGAAAAAATGAAAACGAACCAACTCTCCTCAAACCATGGGGAGAAACAAGTCTCACTTTCCTGATTTCAAATGAGTCAAACTACAGCAGGCCGGCGCACGGCTGCCGCCCAGGGAGACACAAACTCACCAACAACATCGAGGTGGTACGTGTGATTGATGGACCCATACTCATTCTCCACCACACAGGTGTAATTGCCTTTGTCGGATGGGACCACGCTTTCCATAATAAGGCTCCAGTGCTGGTTTCGTACCTGAAAAGATCAGAGTTAAAGGCAGTTATTTAACAAACTTAGCACCGAATACCGGGTACTGTGCTTCCTTGATTTAAAAAGAAGTTGGGGAGGCAAGGAAGGTAAAGAAGAGACATCTGAACTCTAAATTTTCCTCAGAATTAGCACTCAGAATGGTGACAAATGAAATCAATAATTATCATCACGGTGACCATCTAGCAAGAGGCTAGTGACATGTTCAGATACACAAGAGTATGTGGCGTGAGTCTGTCATTGTCACGGGTTTGAGGCTTCCTCCAGGAGCAGCCAAGTGGCTGGGGAATCCCTGACATGAGCCTGCACAGTATCAGTGACCCAGGGTAGGTGAGCGGCCAGGTCGCTCATCCACTGGGAACCCTCAGCCCCTAGAGCACCGAGGAACCATCTAGAGCCAACAGCCAAGTGAATGCCAGGCACTGCTCTGAGCACCCCGCTTCCTGCCTGAGCTAATTTAATTCTCCCGAGGAGCCCACAACGTAGGTGCTGTTCTTGCTCCTGGAGCCTCTGGTTTGAAACCCTCTCATTTCTTTCCCCACGGCCCTCAGATGCTGTCTGGAAGTCTCAACAAGTTTCAGCGGGGACTGTAGGTCTGCCCCTCCCACTCAGGTGGTGGCTGAATAGATGCTACATGTTGCTGAGAGATATACTCAGAATTCCAAATATGGGAGCAATGAATCCTTAGGAAACTTAAGTTGTATATCCATCTATTTAAAAACTCCTTGAGACTTGCCAAAGATAAGCAACACACGTGGAAATAAGTTATTGTGATTCCTCCTCACATTTCTGTCCCCATACAGACAGACTAGATTCTAATGGACACACGTTGCTGTGAAAATATTTTAACAGGCTCAAATTTTCAAGCAAGCATGATTTTTCCTTACTACAACCCAAACGCAGATTTCATCTTTTGGGTTCAAGGCTTTAATATTTCTCTCTGAATCCAAATCATTCTTTAAAGGTATTTTGGACAAGGCACTCCAGAGAAATGGAAAGAAAAAATAAAAAGCCAGGGCCTGCTAATCTTAACTATCATTTCAGGAATTTTAACTGACCCTCTGAATGATGCCCTGAGTGCTCCAAGTGTTTTCTGCCTTAATCACATAAAAACTGATAATACCAGTAGAGCCTTCACAAGCACTTGAGTGATTCAAGGAACTGAACTAGAGAATAAAGAACATGAGCTCGTAAATGTTCCATTATAAAACAGGAGGGCAGAGCAGCTGTCCACTTTGAAGAGCAGAGCCAGCAGAGGTAAGAGATTATAAGACCATGCTATAGCACAACGTAGCTATAGGCGTTCTTATGGGCGTTTTCATGTCAGGCAATCAGTTCTACTCAAGCCATTACTGTAGAGTGGAGTTATTGATGCCGAGTTCAAAAGCAAGAGCACTGCTCATCAGTGACAGTCTTATGAAGGAGCACGGGGGTGAAGGCAGGACTCAGAATTCAAGCACTGAGTTAAGACTGAGTTTGGGCAGACAGTCACTTTGCTTCAACTCCTGCCTGTCACCGACTCCCCCCCACAACCTTGGAGGTTGTCTCAGAGTCTAACATCACGGAGCAGATGATAGGAAATTCATTCTCACGGTCACAGGTGAAATGTCTGGCAGTAAAATAAATCTGAAGGCTTCAGATCTACAATGGAGAGTCTGTACTCTATGTTGGAGAGACTTGCTTTCTGCTCTTGGATGAGGCATAGGCTTGTAGGAGAACTCAAACCAGAGCATAGGTCTCCTCTTAGGAGGGATAAGCACCTGCTATGAAGAATGTATATAAAAGGTGTGTTGTGAACAAGAAGATGTGGATGCTAAATTTTCCAGGGCAATGAGAATTCTCTAAATCCTGACCCCCTGGGCGCTACCCTGGAGCTGTATGCTCGGAGCATGGGAGACGCAGGTCCTAGCTCCTTGATTTAACTCGAGGCAGATGGGCCCACAATGAGACCCACCTTCTCCCCAAGGTCTCAGCGGTGTCAGGAATGGGACTCTCCTGACCTCTGAGGAACCAGTCACGCGGAGGGTAACTCAGGGATGAAGCCACAGGCCCTAACGTCACCAAGCCACGTAATCCAGCATTTAGCCCTGCTGTAAATATTCAGTTCTTTGAGCCCCCGCTCAAATGTCATGCCCATAAGCCCTTAATCACAGCTAGTGCCTGTCTCTGGACCCCATCCAAACTGTCAATGTCTTTCTTGTGCCTGGATCCAGATTTGGCACACGGCATATTCCAAATGGAGCTAAACCTAACCGCACAGGGAGGGCATCGTCTGCCTCTGCCCAAGACATTAAATCTTGGCATATGCAGCTCGGCATACCACTGCTGTTTTTAACCCTAGGGCATATGGTCAGCTCCAGGCTCCTGTTGGGGCTATGGCATTCCACGAAGATCCCCCTTTCAAGGGCATGTGCTCCCTGAATATTTATTTCCTGGAGATGCACCACAAATATCAATAAGTTAATATTTATAAAACGCTTTCACAACGAGAAACACATTTACCAAACAAGGTGTTTCCACCCTTCTACAGACCTTGGTACTCAATCAATACTGCCCCATGCAGTGCTGTTAATATTTATTTTTTTACACCACTGCTCCAGTATTTGGTTCCTGGACATACCACCAATCCCAAACTTTATGAGCTGTGGCATTTTCCAAATGGATGCCCTTAGAAGCCACCAACAGTGGGACTTTTTGACACTTTGGTAGGGGACATCCCACCATTAATTAGTGGTTGCTTAACGACAAGCTAAGAAACTACAAACAGTAGCTCCATGAAGATGGGGAACACAGGAACAGAGATTTTCGTGTTTTTTTTTTTTTTTAACATTCCGTTTCCACACCAAGATTCGGTGTAAACCTAAAGAAATTATCCTTCCAACAAAAATGTATGATGTCCTCTTCAACATGTTTTTCTAAATTCCTCAGCTTTTTCGTGCTGTAAGTTTTCTGCCAGTTGGGTCAAATGCACATAAACCATCTTTGCTTTCCCAGAAGAAGGAACGTAAATACCCAATAAACAGATGAAAAGAGGCTTAACCTCATTAAGGATCAGGGAAATGCAAATTAAAATAATGAGACACTGTTATTCACCAGCTGATTAACAAAAATTAGAAAGATCAATGTCACTGAGTATTTGGTGAGGGTGTAGGGAAATAGAGACAAACTGAGAAGAGGAACATAAATTGAGAAAAACCTTTTAGGAAAATAATTTGGTAGTACCTATTAAAATTAGCAACACGTTTTTTTTCCTTTTAATCAATTAATTCCACTTCTAGATATCTAGCCTACAAAGAAAACAGAAGGACTACTTCAAGGCACATAACAAGATCATTGCTTCAAGCACTGTTGGTAACAGCAAAAAACTGGAATCCATGAAAAAGAGAGTCATGAATAACGTGTAGTTCATCCTATATGAATAGAGTATTTCAACAGAATAGCATCCAGTCATTAAAGAGAATGAGGTGTTCTGACATTCAGGCCTAAGATACCATTAATAGTTATTGATAAATGAAAAAAGCAGGTTGAATACAAATAGGCATACTCGTGATTCCATTTTGTAAAAAATACACACACACATGCACAACCCTATAGGTGCACGTAGGCCTGAATCTATAAGCATGACTGGATCAGCTCAAATCAGAAAGAAAACGGACCACACGGTTAGCAATATACTTCATATAATTAAGGGGTGGGGTTATGAATGTTGTTTACTCTTTTCTCATTTTCACTTTTGAAATTTAAACAGAAATCACACACACACACACACACACACAACACAAAAGTAAAACCAAACAGCTCCCTGTGACTCCCTTTTGGAGCAGCTGCCCTGTGGCAGAACCCTGGCCTCTGTAACGCTGGCAGACCAGACACAAAAGCCAGGGAGAAGAGAAATCCTGCACCAGCCGACACATGCACAATTCCTTCTTTTCATTCCTGCCCACGGCCAAATCTTTGTGGAATTCATTATTATTTTTCATCTGCCAAGGCACAGAATGAGAGAGCATGAGGCTTCAAAACTATGTTCACTAAAGACTTTTAAAAATAACATTTCAATACTGAAACAAAGCAGATTGAAGCTAATGGCCTAAATTCTCTTACTTGTAATACAGTAAGTAGATTCCACAAACATTCCACACCCTGTCATTGCAAAGACAAAAGGTGGCCCAGACAGGTTTTTTCAGAATTCCTCTGCTACCTAAATCTTCTGAGGTGCACGTTAAACCCTCAGCTACCTTCAGGTGACAAGTGGGAATGCAGATTTAGTTTGGATGACACCCAACCACCTAGGTGAAAGGTCAAAGACCCAGGCTGTCACCTGGATGTTTGGTCTCCATTTTGCAAAAAAATCTGAACATTTCCAAATACCCAGGGGTTATATAACAAGCGGAATAAATATCTAAAAGCTGGATGGAAAGTTTTACTCTGTGCCAAGACAATGGATGCTATGTCCATGTGATAGTAAATACTCCCAAGACTTCCTTCCACCAGTATCAGGGCGCAATTCATGGAGAAAGACAGCAATCCCTTTTATCCCTGGCCTTCATTCATAAAGGCATCCCATAAACTACAATTCAACATTGACCAGTTGTCATCAGGATGCATAAAATCTTACTGTCCCATGCCAGATCCCCATCTTCAGCAGATTCCTGGGATCGCCAAACCATCCCTTCTGGACGTGTATGCAGGAACTGAGCTTACCTGTGCCACAGCCCCTGCTGCTGCTTATCACCACACAGATGTGGAGGCCAACACCGGTCTAAGGCTTAAACTCCAAGAAGTCTGCTTTTCAGGAGGTGTCCAGAGAACAGGGCTGGGCGAGCTCTGATCTTCTAGGACCAGTGGCAGAAACTCTCCCCCTTGCTCAGTTAACAATCAATGGAGCTCTCTAGACGAAGTAGGAAGCGAATCACAAAATGCAAAGCCATTCGCTTGGTGCCTGTTCCTGAAGGTGCTCAAAGAGGTGCTCTGGGGGCAGATTGCCAGCA